ATAATTTCTAAACTATTCTTTTAAGCCACTCTCTTATGTTTTGGTCTATTCACCCATGCACCTTTGAACTATCACACTCAGCCTGTATAATATAAAGTCTTTTCAAACTTTTGGTTTAATGTCGTGTTCATCGTCAAATTCCGAACTTCAAATGTGTTTTGGTCAATTATTTGAGAAATAATAAGTGGTTATCTTTGACCAAGTCTTTCACTCTTTTGTAACTTTGTGCTTTATTGCCAGTGGTATTAAAACGGTGAACTTTAGAGACTATTGTTAACTTCTGCTCATGGTTACTGAAATATGTTTGTCTCTCTCTGGTAGTCTTGACTCATGATCTTATGAGCTAATTGTGCTGTTGTCGGGTCTACTGCCAAATCCACAACTACAAACTTCAGTTTTATCTGTATGGTATGTTCATCTTCACAGAATATCAATGACAATATTTAATGTATTTACTAAAGGCATTAATAATTAATATGACTAACTCTGACGTTATTTGCCAGCCTGAACACTCTCAGCACAGTTTTCGCAATTCTATATGGGCTTTCCGGTGCTGTAAGGTATTCCTAAGCTTCAATTGAATCCCCAAGGCTATGTTGGTAGCCGTGATCGGCTTATTATGCTTATCACGGAACTTTCCCCTGATTTGGTTAAAATTCAAAAGGATATTACCAAACATTGTGAAAATTCAGCAGTCAGTCATTTCAGTTAAATGGCCCTTACCAAACAGGCCCTAAAAACAAAACTAAAACCACTATGTCATCGACCAAAACATGCCTCCAAAATTACAACCGTTATTTTTGTTTGCAGCACTAGAGTATCTAATGAGTTAGGAGTGGGAAACCCACAGGGGGCTCATTTGGCTTTCTTGTCTGTGACGCTCATTTCTGTGTCAGCGGGTGTTATAGTAAGCGCAACCCTCTTTGCTTTTCAGAACATATTTGGCTATGTTTTTAGCAATGAGAAGGAAGTGGTGTACTATGTTGCAAATATTGCCCCTCTCCTCTGTCTATTAGTCATAATTGATAGCCTTCAAGGGGCCCTTTCAGGTACAAACTCCACTCTAATGAGGCTCTGTTTGCAAACACAACTGGGAAGTGCTTTTAACTTTTTTAAATGATTTGGTAAAAATGTGATTCATAGTAAACGTTGATAGTGTTTGAGAAAAAAGTGATTTTGAAAAGTAAAAGTTGGTGGTGTTTGGTAAAATAAGTGTTTTTTGTGTAATAGAAAAAGTAAAAAGCAGATTATAGCTTTTAGCTTTTAAGTAATTCATTTAAGTAGAAGTTGTCATTTGAAAACATCTTTTTTAGCTTTTATAAGCCAAAACCTGGGAATTGCTTTTTTAGTTGTGTTTGCAAACAGAGCTTGAATCTGTTTAGCCCTGCTGTGGAAAAAAACTGTTCGGTAATTTCTCAATTGTGATATACTCCCTCCGTTTCTATTTGTTTGACACAGTTTGACTTGTCAAGATTTAAGGGAAAAAAGTTATTGAGGGTTAAATTTTATTGTAGAGTACACTGTTTGCCACTATTTGAACACTGTTTGGCACTGTTTGAACACTGTTTGGTACTGTTTTGCACTGTTTAGATAAAGATTTGTTTACCAAATAAGGAAATAAAGAAGTGTGGCATTCATTTTGAAACGCCCAAAAAAGGAAAGTGTGTCAAACAAATAGAAACGGAGGGAATATATTTGAGGGTTTTGACAGAGACCTAGATAGAACTACTAATGAGAATAATGTTAACCTTTGAATATTGTACAATAAAAGGGGCTCAGACCCTATATTAAATAGCAATGAGCTAGCCCAAAGAGAAAAGAATAAATAGGATTATAGGAGTTGGGGGAGTAGGGGAGGGCAGGCAAAACTTGAGATTTGGGCTGGGATTTTGGGAGATAGGCTGCTCTAAGTGCCTAAGCTTTTATCGTTTCATTCCTGTTCTTCAATTACGTTCATAATAAACAACAATCTTCCTCTTTCGATTTTTGGTACCTAACATTGGTATCATAGCAATCACTCCTGAAGCCTGAATCGATCATCGGTTTCAACGACCTGAAAGACAGTTGAAGAAGAGTATGGACAATAGTGAAAGTTAGTGGAAGGAGATGCGCCCATATGTTGCGCAAACTTCGTCACAGTTACAGACGACATCGAGACAGAGCGAGGAGCCCTCCTAGACATCGTTTGCCAATTGAAAGCCAGTCGTCGTCCTCGCAAGCCAAGTCTCCCATATATAAATCATTTATGATCAACGACATAACATATACATAAACTAGCTCACCCCATCGGTTTATAAACATATATGTTAAACCTACATAACACTGTTTAAATTCCTGACATATATCAAAAGTCATTCTAAGTCTAATTTTTTTTGTCTTCTGGGGATTAATATTTTCGAGTTCATTAAATTTTTTCCCAAAAAGGTCCAACTCTAGAAACTTTAATGCAAACACTCCGCAATCATCCTCTTTCTGTTGCGGTACACTAGGACGTTTTACTTCCCACATTACTTGTTTTCATATGTGTGTACCACACTTGGCAAATGATGCTATTGCAGGGAATACCAATCTTAATGGCATCATAGCTGCTTCAAAAGTTTCATCACTCATGAATTAACCCAACGGTCACATTGGGAAATTGTATCAACTTAATTGGTCACGTTGGATAACTTTAACATACAGACGACCAAACAATGTTTGACTTCATTTAAGGTTTATGTGAACACTCGACCATCATAGGGTCGACAAAGGATACAAATGAGAATAATTTTTATTGTTTAACTCAAAAGTCACCTTAACTGTTATTTGTATTTAGGGAAAAGGTGCAAATAGGCCCATGTACTAACAAAAAAAGGTCAAATAAGCCCTTATTTAGGAGGCTCTGTCCGCCGTCGTCATTTGGGGTGGTTCCCGGTGGAATTTTTTGATGAAAGTTTTTGAGCATCTTATTCATCAAGTTTACTTTACGCATACCTAATTTCAGCTAAAACTTCAATCGGGAAGACATTCAAATGAATTCTTGAAGATAACTGCACTTCTAACTGCTCAGTTATTTTCAAGAATTCATTTGAATGCCTTCCCGGTTGAAGTTTTAGCTGAAATTTGGTATGAGTAAACTAGACTTGATGAATAAGATGCTCAAAAAATTTCATAAAAAAATTCCACCAGGAACCACTTCAAATGGCGATGACCAGACAGAGCCTCCTAAATAAGGGCTTATTTGACCTTTTTTGGTTAGTACATGGGCCTATTTGCACCTTTTCCCTTGTATTTATGATGATTAATTATTATGTTAATGGTAATGATAATCATCCCACTTCAACTGTTATCATCGCGATGATAACCAACTGTCTGTTTTTATGCAACGTGACGGTTTGCAACTTTACATACAGTCGACTAAACATTGGTCGACTTGTTTTAATACATACTTCGTAAGTTAAAACAATCGACCATTAAGTGGTTGACCGTAGTACGTAATTGATAAGGGTTATGTGAACAGTCGACCATCATAGGGTCGATAAAGGAGACAAATGAGTTTAATTTTTATTGGTTAACTCAAAAGCCACCTTAACTATTATTTGTATTTATGATGATTATTATTATGATAATTAATGATAATGATAACCATCCCACTTCAACTGTTATCATCGTGATGATAATCAACAGTCAGTTTGCCAACTTGATTATGCAACGTGACGGTTTGCCAACGTCTCCTATAGACCTATTCACGTATATATACGCATAAAAAGTTGATTCTGTTTCCTCCATCACAAATCCTACAAACATCCTACAAGCCTTAGTTTAAAAAAGCGCGCCTCAGGCGAAGAGGTCATCGCCCTTTACATAGCTAGGCGGCTTAGGGTCTAAGAGGCGTGCGCTTCTAGCGCTTATTAGCGCCTTTTGCGCTTCTGAGAGGCGAGCGCCTTTTCCGCCTCATGGATGTCTCTGTTGAATTGCTGGCGATTCCCATTCCTATTATTTTGTCGATTCAAATTCTGGTTCCAGAAATTTCCTGCGGTGGTATTATAAATTGACAAGGTAAGTTCTCACCCCTCACGCCAAACTCCAAGACTCCAAGTTCTCTAGTCTTCTTCCTTCCTTCTGCGTTTGGTCTTCAAATATATCTGCGTAACTCTGCTTCCCAGTTCCTACTTTATTTGCGCTTCTATCACGCGTTGCAGAGCCAACAGAGGTAAGTCTACTTATTTTTTTTATCTTCTTTTATTTATTCTCTTTTATTTTAAATTACTATTACTATTAACAGTTTTTATATAACCTAATTATTTAATTTATCACAAAATGACTACCAATTTATCACAGTTTATTACATTAATTAGTTAAATTACTATTAACAGTTTTTATATAACTTAATTAATTAGTTTATCACAAAATGACTATTAATTTATTACAGTTTATTACATTAATAATTTAAATTACTATTAACAGATTTTATACAACTTAATTATTTAATTTATCACAAAATGGCTATTAATTTATCACAGTTTATTACATTAATTATTTAAATTATTCTAACAGTTTTTATATAACTTAATTATTTAATTTATCACAAAATGGCTATTAATTTATCACAGTTTATTACATTAATTATTTAAATTATTCTAACAGTTTTTATATAACTTAATTATTTAATTTATCACAAAATGACTATTAATTTATTACAGTTTATGACATTGATTATTAAATTACTATTAACAGTTTTCATACAACTTAATTATTTAATTTATCACAAAATGACTATTAATTTATCACAGTATATTACATTAATTATTTAAATTATTATAAACAGTTTTTATATAACTTAATTATTTAATTTATCACAAAATGACTACTAATTTATCACAGTTTATTACATTAATTATTCAAATTAACATATATTTATCACAGTTTATCACAGTTTTTATTGTCTTTAATTAATATTTTGTTTCTCTTATGATGTTTATTAAGATTGTTTAATAGTTTGAAGTATTTTTGAGAAGTGTGCTTTATGTAGAAGTACTAAAAATATATTTAACGATGGAAATGTGGCTGAGATCTTTGAGGCGCGCGCCTCACCGCCTCGCGCCTCGTGCCTCGGGTAAATCAAAGAAATCGCCTCAAGGTGCCTCTCGCCTTTTAAAACCAAGCTACAAGCCGAGATGTTCCGTAAAAGCAATGCTCTACTGCCCCATGACATTGCTTTTGAAATTTTAAAGACACTTCCTGCTAAGGATCTAATGCGGTACAAATGTGTTTCAAAAGGTTGGCTTAATATGATCAGTGATTCTTCATTTCATGAAGTCCACCAAAACAACACCATATGTCGTGCAGAAGCAACTCACCTGTTGTTTGCCTGTTTCGAGAATTGTTTGGTGCTGTTATATGATTGTCAAAGTCCTCATCTTGTCCATATAATTTTTTCAGACAAAATGCAAGTTCATGTCACAAATACACCATTTCCATCTTCTGCACTTTCTTGCATGACCACCACAAAGTTTTAAACACCTTCAAACATTTCCAAAGGCCATATGGTGTTATATGTTTATGATGTCTTTGATGTTGATCATCAATAAACGCCTTCTCTTTTCTTCATAAGCTTGGCCACATTCAGAAGAAAAGCCCTTCCAATTATGGAGCACATCACAACCACTAGAAGTTTTTTACTTGGGTTTGATGAATCTTCCAAAACTTTTGAACTTGTACACTTTAATCGCAATTCTTTCAGATAAGTGACATTTTGGCCTTTGGAAGCCCAGAGTGGAGGAACTTTCTCCAACCAAGTACTGATTTTGACATTGGAAATGCTGATTGTACATGCCTTAATGGAAAACTGTATTACAAGAAAGGAAGTAAAGAGGTTCAAACAATTGCATTCTTCGACTTGCAGGACGAAACACTTCAACAACAATATGTTCCAGCATCCTCTGTACATCGACATAGCCCTACAGGATGATTCGATCACCCTTATTATTTTCAAGAAATATTAAATTTGAAAGGGAAGGTAGGACTGCTTCATGGGCTGAAAGTTTGGATTTTGGAGCAGTCTGGTTGGGATGAAAAGGACATTATACTTCCTGATGAAGTGGTTAATGGTGAATTCGCCTGTGAGGAATGCACTGGTAATATTGTCATCAAATCATCTGAAGCAGCGGATGAGCAATCAAATTACTACCTTTATAACTTGGAAACGTCTGAGTGTAAAGAAGCTCCCTCCATTGAAGTGAACGGACGTAATTTTATTGATTATATATCACGTTTAGGAATTCCACCAGGTCGATGTATATTTAAACTACTGAACTACGTGGAAAATATTGTAGAATATTAATTATGCTATATGTATGTTTAAATTATATATTATTATGAAACAATGTTTGTAATATAGTTTTTGGACATAGTTTTATAATGTGGACTATATTATAGAATATAGTTTTATAATTTATACATTTAGGACTTCACAATGTTTATGCAACAATGATGTTTTTAAATAGTTCGATCACATGTTTTTGTAAATCGATCATACTTATGGAACATGTGATCGAGAAGTGGTCGAATATGATCGATTTATAAAAAACGTGATCGAACTATTTAAAAACATTATTGTTGTATAAACATTGTGAAGTCCTAAGTGTATAAATTATAAAACTATATTCTATAATATAGTCCACATTATAAAACTATGTCCAAAAACTATATTACAAACATTGTTTCATAATAATATATAATTTAAACATACATATAACATAATTAATATTCTACAATGTTTCCCACATAGTTCAGTAGTTTAAATATATATCGACCTGGTGGAATTCCTAAACGTGATATATAATCAATAAAATTACGTCCGTTCACTTCAATGGAGGGAGCTTCGTTACACTCAAACGTTTCCAAGTCATAAAGGTAATAATTTGATTGCCCATCCACTGCTTCAGATGATTTGATGACAATATTACCATTGCATTCCTCACAGGCGAATTCACCATTAACCACTTCATCAGGAAGTATAATGTCTTTTTCATCCCAACCAGACTGCTCCAAAATCCTAACTTTCAGCCCACGAATCAGTCCTACCTTCCCTTTCAAATTTAATAGTTCTTGAAAATAATAAGGGTGGTCGAACCATCCTGTAGGGCCTTGTCGATGTACAGAGGATGCTGGAACATATTGTTGTTGAAGTGTTTCGTCCTGCAAGTCGAAGAATGCAATTTCTTGAACCTCTTTACTTCCTTTCTTGTAATACAGCTTTCCATTAATGCATGTATAATCAGCATTTCCAATGTCAAAATCAGCACTTAGTTGGAGAAAGTTTCTCCACTCTGGGCTTCAACGGCCAGAATGTCACATTTATCTGAAGAATTGCGATTAAAGTGTACAAGTTTTGAAAGATTCATCAAACCCAAGTGAAAAACTGCTAGTGGTTGTGATGTGCTCCATAATTGAAAGACTTTTCTTCTGATTGTGGCCAAGCTTATGGAGAAAAGAGAAGACGTGTATTGATGATCAACATCATAAACATATAATACCATATGACCTTTGGAAATGTTTGAAGGTGTTTGAAACTTTGTGGTGGTCATGCAAGAAAGTGCAGAAGATGGAAATGATGTATTTGTGACATGAACTTGCATTTTGTCTAGGGAAATTATACGGACAAGATGAGGACTTTGACAATCATATAACAGCACCAAACAAGTCTCGAAACAGGCAAACAACAGTTGAGTTGCTTCTGCACGACATATGGTGTTGTTTTGGTGGGCTTCATGAAATGAAGAATCACTGATCATATTATGCCAACATTTTGAAACACATTTGTACCGCATTAGATCCTTAGTAGGAAGTGTCTTTGAAATTTCAAAAACAATGTCATGGGGCAGCAGATCATTGTTTTTATGGAACATCTCGGCTTGTAGGGAGTTTGTAGAATTTGTGATGGAAGAAACAGAATCTAATAACTTCTTATGTGTATATATACGTGAATAGGTCTATAGGAGACAGTTGGCAAACCGTCACGTTGCATAATCACGTTGGCAAACTGACTGTTGGTTATCTTCACGATGATAATAGAGTGAGATGAGATGATTATCATAATAATAATCATCATATATATATATAAATAACAGTTAAGGTGGCTTTTGAGTTGACCAATAAAAATTAAACTCATTTGTCTCCTTCATCGAGCCTATGATGGTCGACTGTTCACATAACCCTTATAGTTACATACTACGGTCGACCACTTCATGGTCGATTGTTTTAACTTACGAAGTACTACCTCCGTCCCATTTTATGTGTCTCCTTTGGTTTTGACACAATTTTTAATAAAGTGGTTGAAAAGGTAAAAGTTGTGGTTGAGATTTGAGTATAGTAAAGTGAAATGTTGTGAATCACATATTTCTTTCCAAAAAGGGAAAGATGACACTTATTTTAGGACAACCCAGAAAGGAAAGTAAGACAGGTAAAATGGGACGGAGGGAGTATGTATTAAATCAAGTCGACCAATGTTTGGTCGACTGTATGTAAAAGTTGAAATTGTCACGTTGCATAATAACTGACTGTTGGTTATCATCACGATGATAACAGTTGAAGTGAGATGATTATCATTACCATTAGTATAATAATTAATCATCATAAATACAAATAACAGTTATGGTGACTTTTGACTTAACCAATAAAAATTAATCTCATTTGTCTCTTTTGTCGACCCTATAATGTTCGAGTGTTCACATAAACCTTAAATGAAGTCAACCATTGTTTGGTCGACTGTATGTTAAAGTTAATCGTGGTTAGATGATCGACCTGACTGTTGGTGTTTGAGGTGACATACATTTTCCAACGTGACCAATTAAGTTGATAAGATTTCCCAATGTGACCGTTGAGTTAACTCATGAGTGATGAAACTTTTGAAGCAGCTATGATGCCATTAAGATTGGTATTCCCTGTAATAGCATTCTTTGTCAAGATGGGTACACATGAAAACAAGTCAATGTGGGAAGTAAAACGTCCTAGTGTACCGCAACAGAAAGAGGATGACTGCAGAGTGTTTGCCTTAAAGTTTTTAGAGTTAGACCTCTTTGGGAAATTTTTTTAATGAAATAAAAAATATTAATCATCAGAAGATAAAAAAAATCAGACTTAGAATGTATAAATTGTCTATGTAGTTTTTGTTAGTTTATTTGTTTGGTATATATTGAATGCAATCATTTATATGCTAAATGTTTATATGCAAATTATTGATAGTTCATTTTCTAGGCGACATAGCTGAGTCAATCATCTATGGATTGACCATATGTCGGTCGACCTATGATGTTTGACATTGCACGTGTCTCCATTTCTTCAAGTCAGGTGCAAACTCTAGTAGTGCACCTTGAGATTGCAAAATGTGTACTTCGATGGAGAGTATTAGATTTTGTTTTTAGGTTTTAAATCTACAATCGACTACTGGTGGGTCCACTAGATTCGGTATATATTAGTCGACCACTAATTGGTCAACTAGATTGAGTGTCTATTATGTTCGATGTATCATTTCCCCTCCCCAGAATAACAATGATAAAGCAAGTTGATCACCATTATCTTAATGGTGATCAACTTGATTTATTACTGTTCTTGGGAGGGGAATGATACATGGCCTAATCTATACTTAATCTGATCGACCAACTCATTGTCGACTAATCTATGCTCAATCTAAGCTAGGCTACCATTATAAATCGACGGAAGAGTTAAAACATATACATAAACTAGCTCACCCCATCGGTTTAGAAACATAAGGATACTTTTTTCCATCTCAAGGCGGACTTCAAACATGCATGTCTTGAAGATATTGAAGACAAATGATTTGTAGGATTTGTATTGGATTAAACAAATTCATAATGTTCCATATCTTCTTGAATTTATTAAACATAAACGGAGTTGGTACTAAAAGTACATCAACTTGAAATACATTTGTGTCATCTAGATGTGCACCACAACATATCAAGATGTACTTGTCTTGAAATGGGAGACTCATGCATTTTCATACCTACTAGTCGAACATATGAGATTTGTAATGGACTAATTTTTTTTGCGTCATCTCCTTTGAAATATGTCGGCTAAGGAAAATACTTCGTACTGAAAACCTATTTAACATACTAAATTCACTTAATATATATAACAAACATACTTCGTATGGAAAACCTAATTAAGCCATTTACATTTTTTAAACAAACATTATGTTACTAGGCTTCAATTATTGTTTCAAAATTTCATCTACATTTGCTAAAATCGACCAACATATATCTACCAAGATAATTTGGTTTATGATCGACCAAATTTACTAGTCTGGAGTCTTGAGCCACGTCTTTGCAATCTTCTCTTGGCTGTCCAAGACGTGTTAGGAGTTGAAATAAAGAATTTGTTGAGTTATTTGGGAAATTGTTCTCGTAATCTAGTTATTGTTTTGGGAATTTGTATGAAGATCTAGAGAGAATAACATGCAAGATGGGAATGAAGAACATCTACAATCCATCTTGAGTGGGAGTATCACAAGCTGATCAAATTCAATGGTCTGCAAAATTTAACTACCAAAGAAGATAAAAGACAACTTGCTATCTCAATTATTTGGAAGATAAGATGTCAGCGCTTATCTTTTTGTAATCATTAGTCTTTGGTTTTCCTATAAATAGAAGGCCTCTAAGGCATTGTATATTCCGCTGCATTTCATCTTTATCTTTATATCTGTTCATTTTGAGTTTTATTAGAAAAGAAAAGAAATTCCTTTAGTGCTCAAATGAGAATCACTTCTTATGAAATGACGTGTAGAGTTGTAGTCACCAGTCATGCCAAACAAGCTACAAAACACCATTAGAAAGCAATAACTGAAGACACTGAGAGCTTGAGAAGCAAGGTCTGTAAAAATTTATTCTTGACAATACATGAAGCTTTATATCAGTGAGAATTTTATACGGATTGAATGTAGTAGAAATGATGAAATTTTAAGGAGATAAAGAGCAGGTTGCCAAGCGTAGTTGGGATTTCGGTTGGGCAACTGACAAGCTAAAGCCCGAGGATGAGGTTTGCAGACATGAATGAGGTGGACGGAAAAGTGGAACAACATCTAGAGATAAGGCAGTGGTTCTATTAACGTAGGAGGAGATTGGTTAGCCAATCGACTGGAGAAGTGCGTAGGTAGGGAGTCTCAAACTCTCAATCCATCTTTTCGTAGATACAAAAATGCTTTTTGTACACCTTCTGATACACATCACTACACACTATATATACTCCCAATTTTGTTTACCCCCTCTCACAGCCGTTACCCCTTCCTCACTTATCTCTCCTCTCTCCTTCCTTCCATGCCATTCCTTTCCCTTCTTCCTCTTTTCTTCCATTTCGTTCCATTCTTTCTCTGTTCCTCACTCCCCTCCCTTCCCTCTCTCCTTACCTTCCACTAACCCTTCTCTTTTTTCTTTTCTCATTTCACTTGTACGTTTCTCCCTTCCCAAATGCCAAATCCCAGAAATAATATTTTCGGTGGTCACCTATTCACCTGTCTTCAAGTCCGAGTCCATCAGCCGTGTGATTGCTGCTAGAATCGTTGCAGACAGTGAGGATGAGACGGTCAGTTTGCGTTGCTCGAACAAGAAGCTCCAATCAACCAGCCCATAAGTTGAGGTAAAAATCTATTCGATTTTTCTATATGCACTCAATTGTTTTTTTTTTGCAAACTAAGCACTTAGGGTTCTGTTTATTTAAAATTTGTGATTATTTGTATATAATGTATGGTATAACACTGAGTGCTTAATTATTGAAATTTTAATTCAATTACTCTATTTCACATATATGCTCCTCATATGTTTGTTAAATGACTAGATGATTTTTTTTTTGTTTAAATCCAAGACTTTTACTCACCTTTTTTGTTAATAAGTTTAAGATTCTAATTTTCTTGAATACTGGATTTTAATTTGATGCTTTGATCAAAAGAGTTCAATTACTCCTTAATTTTATTCTGATTCAATTACTCCTATTTTACTCTCTTTTACTATTTCATTTTTTTGTTATAACACTGACTTTTAATTTCATGCTTTCATCAAAACTGGTCATTCTTTGTAGTTGTGTTCAAATGTGAAATTGGTTTGATTACTATCATTGTATATGTTTACTAAGTATATTGTCAATTCGAGATCAAACAGCCGCCATCCCTTTTTGCCAAAAGAATATCCCACAAATATACACTTCCGGCTCCGACTAGCAAATTTATCAAGCTTTCCTCGTAAATTATGAGCGTAGCACAAGCAACCAAACACCCGCAATTCTTTATAAGTAGGCTGGATCCCAAATAATACCTCAAAAGGTGTTTTGCGTTGAAGTACTTGAGAGGGAGTTCTGTTAATAAGATGAGCTGCAGTCAGCACACATTCTCCCCAAAAAGAAATGGGAAGATGTGCCTGAAACCGCAAAGCTCGCGCCACATTCAGTATATGTCTATGTTTCCTCTCAACACGCCCATTTTGTTGTGGCGTGTGCACACAAGAGGTGTGAAAAACAATACCATGCTGGTGGAAGTATTCGTGCAGACAAAAAAATTCCGTGCCATTATCACTTCGCACGATTTTAATTTTACTAGAAAACTGTCTCTCAATCATCGCAATAAAAGACATGAATGTCTTAAAAACTTCTTTCTTATCACATAAAAGATAAACCCAAACAGCACGAGAAAAATCGTCTACAAGAGTCAAGAAATATCTAGCACCACAAGATGCAGGAGAATTGTAAGGTCCCCACAAATCACAGTGCACAAGCTCAAAAATATGAGTTGATTTATTAAAACTCAAAGGAAAAGGATCTCTACTTTGTTTAGCACGAAAACAAATATCACATGGCGAGTGCACATTTTCCGAAGTAGTGGCATTTGGAGACATCCATCTAATAACTTGTTCTGAAGGATGACCCAACCGCCGGTGCCACATATCCAGAGAAGCATACAAACCATCCACTGCAACAGATAAGATTTCCGACAAAGGCCGAAAATAATACAGTCCATCCCTCCTCTCACCCGTGCCAATCAGCCTCCTCGAGTGAAGGTCCTGTATAGCACATATGTTAGATGAAAACTGAACAAAACATTGCAGATCATCATTGAGTTGGGATACAGATATCAAGTTACAATTTAGATTGGGAACAAACAAAACATTATTTAATTCCACCAAGGCAGATAAACGAGCACTCCCAGCCCGTGTTGCTTCAACTTGTTGGCCATCGGGCAAACCAACCAGACGGGCGGGAATATCCGTCAAATTATTCAAACACGTTATATCACCTGTCACATGATTGGAAGCGCCTGTATCGATGATCCAAGAAGTGATATCGAACTTACCAGACATTCGTTCCTGTTGTGAGTGCATATTACCAAAAGCAGTCATCAATGACTTCCATTGTTCTGCTGTGAATCCTGGCAGAGGTGGTGTGCTACTTCCTGTGAGTTGTTCGAATTTATCTGCTGGAGCCAGAGAGTCGGTTGCCGCGGCATGAGCCCGAAGATTGGTCTTGTGCCTTCCCCCTTGACCTCCAGTGTTACGCGCACCATCTGCCACCGCAGGTGTTCTGCCCCGTCCTGCTCCTGCTGCATATCCAGTCCCTGCAACTGCTCCATTTTTCACTCCAAGCCTGGGTCGGTCTCCTCACCAGTCCGGGTACCCAATGAGCTCAAAGCAATTGGCTGTCTCGTGACCTGTAAAATGGCAATAAGAACAAGTAATACCAGATTTATCAGGCTTCTCACGCGTTGCTTTCCCCCGGCCTATTCCTGCTGCACGAACTGCAAACCCCATCACGTCAGGCTTATCTTCCTTTGTCTGCACAATTCCACGAACCCGCTCTTCTTGCGCTACTTGATGATAGGACCGTGTAAGAGTGGGAAGTGGCGTTGTATTCAACAATTGAGATCGCACTTGACCATAGTAATCCGCGTATAGTCCCATCAAGAACTGATGAAACCTCTCGGATTCCCGACGTTTTTCATGCAATTCGCCCAAGTTACACGTGCACTTACCACACTTACAAGTAATAAGAGGTTCATAATTATTCAATTTATCCCATAACACTTTAAGTTTAGCATAATAAGAGCCAATTGACATATTTTTCGTTTGCTCACAACGAGCCAAATCAGATTTCACTTGATGAATCCGAGGTCCATCAACGACAGAAAACCTCTCCTCCAAATCAGTCCATAGAAGACGTGCGTTATCAAATTTTGAGAGGGTAGATTTTACCTCGGGATTAATCACGTTCAAGAGCCAAGAGACAATCATGGAATGAATAGTGAGCCAATCCTCCGCCGTACATGGTGGCTTCGGTTCGTTAATATCTCCGTTCACAAACACGTATTTCCGTCGAGCTCTCAAAGCAAGTGTCACCGAGTTTGACCATTCATCATAATTCTCTCCGGTGAATCGTACCGACGTGATGTAGTCGCCCGGCCTGTCTTGTGGTCCCAGAAAATAGGGTGAGGTATAATCGATCTTGGAGGATGAGTTTCCTCCTTCGTCCCCCATATTATTCGGCGTTACTCGGATATCAGCCGTGGAGGCTCTGATACCATGTCAGCCGAGCATGTGTAGTGTGTAGGCAGAAGAAATAATTCTCATATATGTTAGGGTTGGGTCTAAACACCCATATAAATACACGTACAAGAGTAGTATTTAAGACTCAAAAGGAAACTAGCTATACTAGGTAATGGAATAAAAGTAATGATATTAAGACTAGTAATAATAATGATCCGTATGGATCTGTTAATATTGGTAACATCATTACCTGGAATTTTGAATATTTTTGGAGAATTGTGGTTTGTCAATGAATTTAAATGGTATTAATAGGTTCTTGAGAAGCATGGATCAAGTTGATTCAATTTACTATACAAAAAATCATTATTCATTTGGAGTTGATCTAGATCCTAAGAATGCCAAACAACAATGAAATATGTAGCATGTGTGTGGTCAAATTCTGCCATGTTTTTTTTATCTTTGTCATCCACATGGCTTTACTCTCAATAGAACCATCATGAGTGTTATATATTTCTTATAGCTACTGAGATATACAATATTTTTCTTGATGGGTTGATGATTAAGCTTCAATCTTTCTATTATCTCTTGTCATGCTCAAAAAGTTGTGCTTGTAATGAGTGGGCTATAAGATGTTAATTATGTCGTATTAGAGTTCCTTTCCCATAGATGTTTTGTCATTTTAGAGGTTATGATTTTTTTCTTTTTTGTTGCAGGTTGCTTCAAGTAAGGTGAATAGTGGGTGACTGAAATTTTTATTTTTTGTAGATAAACTTTTAATTATTAGTTGCTACTTGCTAGATTGCTTCAAAAAGGAGCTACGGTCCTCCGCCTATAAAACCTGTGAAACTTGGCAGCAATAAATGACCTGTGAAGTTGATTCTTTAAAGTTCACCATAGAGTTTTCAAACCTTGAAGAGGAAAAATGATGAATTGATTGAGCAAGTGAAGCAATTGAAGTTTGGTAGGGCATGGAAAACTATGGCAAGAGGAGAATCTTGTGTTGAATGCGCAAGTGATTTGGTGATAAAATAGCAAGAGGAGATTTTTTTTGAGATGAATATGCAAAAACCAAAAGAGAATAAAAAGCACTCAAGGCTGAATTGGTGGTGTTTCTAGGTGAGTTAGAAAAAATAGAAGTCAGTCATGTATGAAAAATGAAGATTGAAAGTGTAGTAGCTAGATTTATAGTACTTACCTTTGTTTCATTTGATGTATATGTATCAATTGTATCAGTTGGTTACTTGTAAGTAAAATGTATTGAGTAGTATGTCAATTAGCTTATGGTTTATTTTGGAAGTGTTGCTTCTAAGATGGTTAGAAAATATTGATGCTCATTGTAACAGAATGTTTGCTAATGATTATGTGTAGCAAAAGCAGTTGTTATAGTTTTTATAACAACGTTGTGTTAACTTGTTACACTAATCATTTATTTTAATTACTATTATATACTATAATTGTTTAGCACACATTATTACTAATAATAGTTATATACTAACAAAATTAAGTCTAAATAAGATTACATTCTGAATATAAGAACATTAATTTTACAAAGTGACTAATAAAAAATTAAAATTACGAACTTATGTTGACTAATCAAAATAAACACACAAACAATTACTTCAATGCACTGACAAAATAAACAAACACATGAACAATGTTTGAACTATGCACAAACACTATAAATGAATACACAGACAATTACTCCGTATTTTCTAATCACAAACAAATCAATGAACACATGGACAATATTTTAGCCACATAGACAATATAAATGAACACACAGACAAGTATTTTCTATAGACAATTATTTGTATGCACAAACAGAATAAATTAACACACAAACAATGTTTTAACGTCACACAAACAATATAAATGGACACACAGACATAATAAATGAACACACAAACATTTTTTAACCACACAATATGATATAAATGAACACACAAACAATTGTTTTTTATGCCATTTGAAATAGCAAGAAATTGAAATTGTCTGTGTGTGCATGGTTAAAACATTGTCCGTTTGTAAAAAAACTATTGTCTGCGTTTTTGTTTATATTGTCTATACATGGTTAATAAAATAGTGTCGGTGTGTCCATTTATTTATTTATTTTGTCAGCGCGTAGAAAATAATTGTCTGGGCATTCGTTTATATGGTCTATGCACGGTTTTTAATATTGTCTGTGTGTTCATTTGTTTTGTCTGTGCGAAGAAATTAATTGTCTGTGTTTTTTTTATATTGTCTGTGCATAGTTAAATTATTGTTTGTATGTTCATTTATTTTGTCTGTGTGTAGTAAATAATTGTCTATGTTCATTTATATTGTCTATCACTTATTCGTACTCGTAGTATGGTTTGCTTATCCCTGGTACACAACTAGTGAGTTGGCTTGTCAAAGAATGACAAAAATAAATCGTACATGAAACTAAAATCGAATATTATCAACTACTTATACTTATTATTATATGGACTTGCAAAGGCAAAATAATCCCTCATTACACACCTAGTTATAATTATATGGACTTGCACAAAGGCAAGACAATTACTAACAAAACAAGAAAATACAAAAAGCCAAGAAGATTACAGCTTCACAAGCTAAGGTACAACACATTTTCAAGCTAAACTTCACATGATGCTAAAGCAACTTCCTCAATCGTAGAACCACCTGCACTAATAGCATGACCACCACCGAAACCAGCAATACCACCATCAACTTGGGATTACAAATACCACCTGCACTCATATCAGGCCAACACCACCTTGGTACATCTAAGTAATGATGGGATTACAAATACACTCGAGTTCCTTCAACTTGTCTTCAAATTCATCAACCTCCACAAGTTGGTTGTATACTTGTATCCAACCACTGAATAGTCTGCTCAACAACACCCTCAAATTTCTTCTTGTCTTCTACAATGATAGTAATCAAACCATTCCACATTTGAATACAACTAAAAAGAATGATCAGTTTTGATGAAAGTATGAAATTAAAAGTCAGTGTTATAACAAAAAATGAAATAGTAAAAGAGAGTAAAATAGGAGTAATTAGATCAGAATAAAATTAAGGAGTAATTGAACTCTTTTGATCAAAGCATCAAATTAAAAGCCAGTATTCAAGAAAATTAGAATCTTAAACTTATTAACATGAGTAAAAGTCTTCGATTTTAAAAAAAGATCATCTAGACATTTCAACAAACATACTATGAGCATAAATGTGAAATAGAATAATTGAATTAAAATTTCAAAAATTAACTCTACATTTTTTACAATAATACAAAATATTCAAGTACTCAGTGTTATACCATACATTATATACAAATAATCACAAAGTTTAAATAAACAGAACCCTAAGTGCTTAGTTTGCAAAAAAAACAACTGAGTGCATATAGAAAAATCGAATAGATTTTTACCTCAACTTAATGGGCTGGTTGATTGGAGCTTCTTGTTCGAGCGACGCAAACTGACCGTCTCATCCTCACTGTCTGCACCGATTCTGGCGGCAATCACAGGCTGATGGACTCGGACTTGAAGACAGGTGAATAAGTGACCACCGAAAAGATTATTTCTGGGATTTGGCATTTGGGAAGGGAGAAACGTACATGTGAAATGAGAAAAGAAAAAAAGAGAAGGGTTAGTGGAAGGTAAGGAGAGAGGGAAGGGAGGGGAGTGAGGAACGGAGAAAGAATGGAACGAAATGGAAGAAAAGAGAAAGAAGGAAAAGGAATGGCATGGAAGGGAGGGGAGAGGAGAGATAAGTGAGGAAGGAGTAAAGGTTGTGAGAGGGGTAAAAAAAATTGGGAGTATATATAGTGTGCAGTGATGTGTATAAGAAGTTGTACAAAAAACATTTTTGCTCGAAGAAAGCGATCAACAGTCTAGCACACGACTTACGAGAATGTCCTGTTGGGCGTTGTTGCAGAAAGGGAATGAGAACGAGAGGAGGGAATATTTTTTTTTTTTATGATAAAAAAAATCAATGAATGGACTATTATATAAAACAATAGATAATACCCGTAGTTAAGATGTATTTAATTGGACTATTCTCTATCTCAAATTAGATTAGATCGGACTTAAAGACTTAAGATACTAATAAAAAATATGTGCACCGAATGTTATCTGAACTTGACCAATCAAAAAGTTCAATCCAATCAAAAATATCCTTATTAAAATAATAATAATAATAATAATAATAATAATAATAATAATAATAATAATAATAATAATAATAATAATAATAATAATAATAATAATAATAATAATAATAATAATAATAATAATAATAATAATCTTTCAGTCCAAATAAAAAAAACATCCTAACAACAATAATAAAATTTATCAGAGAATAATTACTTAGTTACCCAAATAACACACTACTTTAATGATTTAAAAAAATATTTTAATATTGAGTACTCTATATAACAATTTAAGAGAAATTTGATTTTGCACCCCACTTTTCGGATAATATTGGAATTTGCACCCCATTTTCAAAAAAACTTTGATTTGCATCCATATCACTTAATAATCTTTTAACTTTGCACCCCATTTAGAAATTTTTCTTCAGAAAATGTTATATAATGGGATGCAAAGTCAAAGTGTTTTTCAAAATGTGGTGCAAAATCCAATATTATCATGTTGTTCAATGCTTACGAGGAGTAGCCGACTACTAACGATTTAACAATTTTTCTATATCCATATATGAATAAATTTACATCACATAAAATGTACTTCCTCCGTTCTTTTTTAGTTGCAACGGTCAACATTTCACATGATGGATAGTCTACCCGGGGTGTGTGTTATCCGAGGGGTTATTACGGAATAACCTAGAGAGAAGTCAGAGCAAGCAAGTAGGAGAGAGAGGAGATTATTATTTATGAACTCGAGATGTTCTGGATCGTTTACAAGGAGAAATGGGTTGCTATTTATAGCAGCAATAAATGCGATGAGAGTACACGTGTCAGTAATCCAACGGCCGAGGGGTCACATCAATCGGGGTGGCACCGGCAGTGGCATGTTCACCGCATTGAATGCGGTGGGTGAATGTGACGTCGCATTAAATGCGGTGGTTAGCTGTCTCCAAAGGGAATCTTCGATGATTGAGCGTGTTTGGCCGAAGGCCTCTCGTAGAGCCGAGGGCTCTACGTGATCGAGGACCCCTGCGCAGTCGAAGGCTCCGTGTGGCCGAAGGATTGGTTCAGCCGAAGGCTCCTCTGATACCGAGGGCTCAGTAATGTCGAAGGCTCCTTTTCTGCCATTTTCTACCAGTAGCTCCGTATGCCAAAAAGGGCTATGCTGTGAGCTTCGGAGCCTTCGGCCAAGGTGGCCGAAGGCACCCCGGTGTGTATTTTGGGCTTCCTTGAGGCTTGGGCCGCTGTATTTGGGCCTCGGATGCACCTTGGGCTTAATGGTCCTTCGTGGGAGAAGTAGGAGTCTATGGGCCGGGGTTCTTGGGCCATATACTCCATCAGGGGTCCTTCACTCCTTTTGCCGAAAGGTACTTGAGGGAAAAGGAGTAGTTGTGTTGATTCTTCCGGAGGCTTCATCGTTTCGTTGGGCGCCTTTGCTTGAGAATTTGTCTTCTGCTGTTTGCCGAAGGCTTCCCTCAGTCCCTCACATGTCGAGGGTTTTCTGAGGGAAGTGTACATGACATCTGTATCCTTGTCGAAGACTTCCTCAGTGCCTCACATGTCGAGGGTTTTCTGAGGGAAGCGTAAATCATATCTGTATGTGTTTTGATGAGGGCTGCTCCATCATTGTTGGCGTTTCTGCAGAATTTTCCTGAAATCCTGCTTTGCCGGAGGGTGTAATGATGTATGTACCCGAGGGCTACATGCGTTACTTGTAGATTTCTTGCATGTGGGAATTTTTGTTTTTAGTCATGTGTGATTCCCGAGGGGTGTATCCCAGTCCCCCACTCCTTTAGGTCGAAGGCAAGTTCGGGCTGAAGGAGTTATGATGTGTTGATGAACTCCCGAGGGGTGGCAACATTGACAAGCCGAAGGTTTGTATTGCTGCAGGCTCGAAGGCGTTTGGTGGAATTCGTTGGCTGAAGGCTGTCGTGATTGACAGATGGAGACTGTCCTTCGAAGGCACCCCAGTGTTTCTGAAATATAGCCGTTGTAATAGAGCCGTTGGAAGAGGGGTCGACGTGGCCGGCTGTCGTTGGTTGAAGGTGGGCGGGAGCCATCCATTGGTTGAACCGGCGGCCCGCAATGATGGGCTTTTCAAATCGAGGCCCATATTTCGAGGCCATGAGCCTATAAATACCCCTTGCTAAGGCCATTTCCTCCTGTGCGTTTCTGAGTCATAGCGGAGCTCTGCCAAATTTTCTAGAGAGAGAAAGTAACCCCTTCGATCAAAACCAACCTTTGAGGTCAGTATTTCCTTAGCTCTTCGATTCTCTCAGCATACTTTGCCAGTTTCTTAGTTTTAGTGTTAGTGACCTTAGCAGCCTTCGGCTAGAGTTTTCGAATAGTCCTCTTCTCTCGATCTCTTCAACCCCCTCCAATCATGTCCTCTGAGAGCGATTCGCAAAACATATCGGAGTATGCCCCGGTTCAATCTGAGAGTCTGTCGGACGTGGAGTCCTCCAGCGGGCAGTCATCAGCTGGTGATGACTTGGCAGTGGCCCAAGAGGTGCAGAGTGCCCTTCGGTAGAGCTTGAGGCGGAGGAGTTTGAGCAAGTGGCTGAGGACGAAGAGATGGCCCTCGCGCTTCACGAAGCAGAGGAAGAAGAAGAGAAGGAGAGGCAACAAGTCATGGTTGCTGTTCTGCCTTCGCGAAATGCTGGTGAAGCGAGTAGCTCCCGGCCGATTGACGTCGTTCCCCTCCGGGTAGCTTCGGGTAAGAAGAGGAGGCAGCGGAATGCCGAGGACCTCCCAGGAAGAAGAAGAAGGCTGCTGTTGACGCGGGGCAACCAGTGGGGATCCCCGAGGGTCACTCATACCTCAACACCGCCGCCCTCGACTTGAAGACAACGGCTACGCCCTCCGATTGTCAGGCCACGCAGATACTGGTGGGGCCTTCGGCCCAAGTGGTGGAGCCGGGACCGGAAGACCTATTGTCCAGCCCCCCAGAAGGTTGTTTTGCAGTGCACGTGCTCTCGGTGGAGTTGGGCCTCCGGTTCCCACTCCATCCGTTTCTACTGGAGTACCTCAAGTTCCTGGGGTTGGCTCCCTGCCAACTGACCCCCAATAGCCACTCTTATATCGCCGGGTTCCTCTCGCTGTGCCGGAGTCGGGGGGTGGAGCCTTCTCTGGAGCAGTTCTTCATGTCTTTTAACCTCTGCCGAGGGGGAGCCGCCAACAGCGAGGGATTCGCCAACCTTCAACAGGTGCCGGCGTGGAGGCTGTTCTCGGAGGTGCCCTCATCTCATAAATTGTGGAGGGACCGGTTCTGCTATGTTAGGATGCCGGGGAATGGATTCCCGAGGCCTCTCCGCAATCACTTTCGGAGGCATCTGAAAGTAGGGAGTGCTGCTCTGGAGGCGGCAGGGAAGAAGCTGAAGGCTAAACCCGCAGGCTCCGATAAGCTGATAACCATAAAAGCTGCAACCCTCCCAGAAGAACTCTATCGATTGTCCTTCCGCCGGTTCTGGCTGGAGGGGGAGAAGGAAGAGGAGTATCCTTCGATTAACCGAGGGTACCAAAATGCCGGAGGTTGTTGCCGAGGGATCTATTCTTTAGTACTTAGAAAATTTTCTGGCTTTAGCATCACTTTGATTCTAATCTTTCTTGTCTCTTCCAGGTGACATCATGGACCCCAAGGCTTTCGCAAAGCTATCCAAGCAACTGGCGAAGGATGAAAAGAAGAAGAAGAAGGAGGGGCCTTCAACCCAAGCACCTGTCGATTCCTTTTTCAAAAAGGACAAGGCTCCCGAGGGGCAGGGACCCTCCCAGGAGGTTGTAGCCGCTGATGCCGGCACCGGCGCTGGAGGCTCTCAGGCGGGGGAGCTGAAGAGGAAGAACGCCGGGAAGGGCATGAAGCCCCCGGAAAAGAAGAAGTCAAAGGGGGATGTCAGTCAGAAGGCTCCCCCGATAGTGATCATTGACGACGGGAAGGGCATGAAGCCCCCGGAAAAGAAGAAGTCAAAGGGGGATGTCAGTCAGAAGGCTCCCCCGATAGTGATCATTGACGACCCCCCCACCAGCCAGCCATCGGCCTCCGCTCCGCTAGATGATTTTGATGACCGTGCCTGGCCCTTAGAGACTGTACAGTTCCCCATCAAGAAGGGGACTGCCCTTATGCATGGCACCCTCGATCCGAGGGAGTTTCTGAGGGGTGCCACTCCCCCTCTGGATCGGTCTACTCTCAGCCGGTTTGGGGACGAAACCCTCGAGCTCAAGGCTCTCCAGGCTTCGGCTACTGTAAGTGTCCAGGTCCTTGATGATTTTTGTTCCAGTGTTTCTCTCTTTCGTGTAGCCTGATCTTAAGTGCCTTTTTATTTGCTTGCAGGCTAGTGTTGCCTTCGGGGAGCTCGTCCGGAGGGCGGAACAACACCGGGTTGAGAAGGCGAAGTCTGACGAGGCCATGCGGAAACTTATCACAAATAACACCGAGGCCATCAGGCAGTTGGCTGCCTTAGAAGAGACCCTCCGGCAGGCTGAGCAGAAGTTGGAGGCTGCGAAGCAGGAAGCTCGGGCCGAGGGCAAGGCAGAAGCGGAGAGGATTGCCGCTGAGGCTGCCAAGGCCGCCGCCGACGCTGCCGAGGTTGCCAAGAGGGAGGCCGTGGCTGATGCGCCAAAGGGTGCCATCGATGCCTTCAAGGCTGGGGGCTGGAGGA